CTTCAAATCTGATGAAGCCCCCATATGCAGAACTTCTAAGAATTATACCCTGAAAAGGGCAACTCCTGTGCTGCATGGCCCTAACTCACATGAATTTCCTTTGAGGTTAACACAGTCAGGAAAGAGTGAAGGACCTGGCCCAACTGACCCATCCCAAATCAGTTTGTCATCCTATGATAAATATTATGGAAATGTGGACCTTTAAAAGTCTTGTCCACATGAATGCCAATATAAATGTTTATACCTATCTTTGTGACTACTACACTGACTATAACTCATTAGAGATATATGTCAGAGAAATTGCTTWATGGRATCACATTTATTGTCTTAAATAACTGATATATCATGTCTATCCTTGGATCTACTGTAAGGCAAGGGCACATAGAAACAGTTTGCTATCAAGGGCATWATTTTATTATTATGCTCATGACCATAAATCCTGCTGTGCTTTTTCAAAGCTAGCAGGCGGCAGGAGGATCAACTCATTCTTCTAAGATCCAATCTCGATTTCTTTGAAGAGACATGAGACTTYTCARATTTCTAAGACAAATAGTTCTATCACTAAAAAATCAGGCAAACTTACTGTTCTGTAGCTTTTGTAGGTCAGCCCTTGTTTCCAGATAAACTTCTTCAAACTGCAGGAAATAGAGAAGAAAAGAAATATTGTTGCTGCATGTTTCACTTTCTGCATTGCATGAGACAGCTGAGGACCAGGACTTAGGCTCCTCTCCTCTTCCCTCTTCCATACGAATCACATTTGTGTCCAGGAAAGACTTTGACTAAACAACAGGTGCCCAGAAAGCACAGAGCAGTCTCTTCCAGGCAAAATACAGTTGTGATGTTCCTGTTCTCCCTGCTGGCAAGCACCAGAGCAAGAGATTGTGCAAGGAGAAGGGAGAGCGGTAAGTTCATAGCAGGACTGAGCAAGAGGGTCTTTGCCACAAACTGAAAAGAGGATAGAGGAAGAGAAAGGTTCACATGTCCTCCACAGTTTTCTAACTCATTGCTTGTCACTGTGACAAAACCTCTCAKCTCTTAAACACACAGATCCTTCTCACTGTCTCTCCACCTCCAGCTTTAATACCAGAAATAGAGCTGAGAAGAAATACTGCTCATTTTATGTCAGGCACTACCTTCAAGGGTTTCTAACAGTCATAATATAAATGGTTTTCTGGACATTGAGGTTCAGCTAGAGGCCTTCACAGTGGAACATGCAGAACCTCTATGATGACAACCTGGAGACTGCTCCTGAGGTTTTAAAAAGCTATTTGGTAGCTATAGGGGGATGATCTCGTAACGCTGACTTGGTAATCATTGTGCACTGCTCTAAGCACAAAACTTGAAACTGCTAGACAGTCACAGTTTTAATAAGGGTCAGGAAATATATTTCTCACATGCTCTTAGCATAAAGAAGAAAGCAGACCTCGACTCCAACTGCTGCTAGCAGCCACCGAATTGTTTCCATCCGGCCTCGGCCATCGAAGTAGTAGAGCTTGGGTTTCCCAGCCATGTTTCCAGGCACCTGACTTCCTASTGTTGAGGATAAAGAACAAAGTGTTGCAGAAAAAGGAGTCAAAATGTTGGGTTTTACTGACCAATGGGTTCTCAATCATCATTCAAAGCTGTCTCATCTGAAACCAATGTTTTTTGGTCCCAGTTTCTCATCAGATTAACAGTTCAAATGAGTAGTATCACTTTGACTTAAGATGCCTTTTATCCATGCAATTTATGTACATTACTGGGAATGAGAGAAACCAGATTTTGATTTCTCAGAAAAAAAAAAAAAAAAAAAAAAGTATTCTGCTCTTACCAAACAGCAGTGCAGGCAATATGCACAGCTCTGGATTTTTTGATCTCTCCTGTAATATTAGATCAACTGACAGTTTTAGCCACAACATAGTCAAAGACATATTCAGCTTAATTCTTTTGTTTGCTTGTTTGCTTTTTCCTTGCAATTGTGCTGCATCAAGCATTTCTAAGAGATCAATCAGTTCGCAACAGTAGTTCAAGTCTTATCAGTAGAGTCAACAGTTAAAGAATAAACACAGATGGAATGTGAAGCAACAGCTCGTTCTGGGTGCACTCCATTTGGAAACAGTTCATGCACATCAGCAGCAAATGCGTAGACAGGACTCCGTTTTATCTTACTTTCACAGTTAAAAGCACAATGCCACCGATAAAACTGAAGTTTTAAAGCAGCAAAAAACACAATTGCCTACAAAAAGCATATATTCCTCTTGTAAATAACACATAAGCTTCTCTGAAGTAGGAAGAAGGCAGTAAAAGGAAGCACTCTTCACATTTCTGAGATCAAAATATATGTGTTTTTAATCATTACTCCTAGCAAGCAGATACTTTAAAGAGAACGTCCCATGCACATTGCCATGTTTGTAATGAAAGCAACCAAAAGTATTTAATCCATTAATTCACCAACTTTACTTTCAACTATATTAATACTCTGAGCATGTCTAAGATCCAGAAAGCTTACCTTGTACAAAGTGTAACTCGCTGTAAGCTCCCACTAGCTGTGTGCTGAATTTATATAGCCCAGTAGCCCCTCCTACAGAGGGAATTGCATCCAATTCCCTGCAGATAAGAATCTTATTTCTTAAACAATTAATTCTACTTTGTCACACTATGCACTAACAGAAAAGAAAATTTTCAGCTTACGTGTGCAAATGTAGGACTCAGTAATTCAAGATCCGTTTAAACATCTGAGATAGTAGAAAAATTTGATGTCTTTTATCTTCACTTTTTAGGATTTCAGTATTTAAAAATAATCAACAGAGCTGAAGGACTCCTCAGATTAAAGAAAAACWCTTACAATGGTATACAGTTTTTACTTAAATATGTTATGATTTTGTACTTCTTGCAGATTGGCTCTTACTGATCAAATAATTACAGACAACTCCAGATGATGGTGGAAGATGAGCGGTGTCTGAGCACTGTTYGATGTCCATTGTCCGATGTTAGCCCACTGCTGAATGGGGAGGGTGTCTTGGTGATGGAGAATGCCGAGAAAGTTGACTTACTAAATGCTTTCTTTGCTTCTGTCTTTCCTGCAAAGGCTAGCCTCAAGAACTACAGAGCCCAGATAAAAAGGAAAGTACTAGCAGAGAGGAAGCCTTTTCTCTGATCAATTGGGTTAGGGATTATTTAGGCAAACTGGACACCCATAAATCTATGGGTCTTGTTGGGATGCATCCACCCTGTGGGAACTGGCAGGGATTGTTGCTCAGCCACTCTCCATCATCTTTTAGAGGTCATGGAGAATGAGAGAGGTGCCAGAGGCTTGGAAGAAAGGCAACATTACTCCAGTCTTAAAAAAGGGCAAGAGGAAGGAGATGGGAAACTACCTTGCYGCTGTCCCTGGAAAGATGATGTAGCAGCTCCTCATAGAGAGCATATGTAGGCATGTCAAATAAAAGGAGGTGATCAGGAGTCAGCATGGATTCACCAAGAGGAAGTCATGTTAAACAAACCTGATAGYTTCTATGATGGGATGACTGGCTGGATGGACGAGGGGAGAGGCGTGGATGTTGTCTGCCTGACAATGGGTATAAGTTGTCTGACAATGGKTATAAGTTGAAACACAGTAAGTTCCATCTCCATATGAGGAAGAACTTCTTTCCTGTGAAGGTGACAGAGCCCTGGAACAGGCTGCCCAGGGAGGATGCGGAGTCTCCTTCTCTGGAGGTCTTCGAAATCCACCTGGATGCCACCCTCTGCCACATGCTCTAGGTGTGCCTGCGTGAGCAGGAAGGTTGGAKCTCTAGAGGTCCCTTCCAACCTTAAACATTCTGTGATTCTGTAATTCTGAGAAAATTCTTGACAGKGAGGGTGACAGAGCACTGGAACAGCCTTCCCAAGGAGGTTGTGGAGTCTCCGTCTTTCGAGATCTTTAAAACTCGCTTGGACGCAGCCCTGTGCCACGTGCTCTAGGTGACCCTGCGTGCGCAGGGAGGTTGGACTAGATGACCTCTGGAGGTCCCTTCCAACCTTAAGCATTCTATGATTCTACTCTTCAGTGCAGACAGACACAGAAGATTGGACATGGCTTGATTCCAAAGGCAAAGGTCTTTAAAAATTAAAAAGCCAAAGACTTCCTAGTTTTGCTCCAGTGCAGAGCTGATGAAGATCTTCTTCTTCTGAATCTACATTTAGTTGTACTTCTGCATCCCTGGACAATTTTAGAAATTTCACATGTACAGAAGGACCCGACCCCATTTCTGTGAATTAAATTAATAAAGCCTATGTAGAAGATAGCAACTGTATGTATGGTATGCAATGTATTAAAAGAGAGGAAAAAGCAAGTAGTCAATCATATGTGCTCTGGGCCAGATGCAAACCTCTACCAGGTCCCTCTGTTCCCATGTTCTCCAAGTTTTCAGTGAGAGTTTGATACTGGCATCTGGCTTATCTTGCCCAACTATTTCTCAACACTACACACAGTTCAGTACTCACCTCACACAAAGGCAGCTTCCCAACTTACATGTAAGGCTCTTTTCATCACTCTGCACAATGGGAGGTTAAATGCAGAGTACACATACATGCAACTGAAGTCCCTTGTCATAGCAGGAATACTCAAAGGAGGCTTTGAGGTACTTCTTGCATTACTTTGTTGATAAAGACTAAGCACAGTATCACCTGCAGTAGGTGAAGCACACAATAAAAATGCTCATGTTCGAAATGTGATTATGTGACTGTGTTTTCACTGCTCCTCCCAAGGGCAGTGCAAAACAAAGACAGATTCGTGCATCAGGATAGCATTTTCTCTATTGCCTTCATATCAAAGCATAGGTTGGTCATGACCAACAAGGATATAATCAGCAATAGGATAATTCTGCAAGGTAAAGAGAGATCAGTGAATCCTCCTGCTAAACCCTTACCCTAGGTGTATTATAAATTTCACRTTTTTTTCCTGCCTGGACCATCACCTCTGCACATTTCTTGACTGTAAGAAGCTTCATGCTCCTTACAGAGAATCAAGAGTAAGGCAGTTGCTTCCTTGACAAAGAGAGCAGAGCTGATCTGTACTTGAACTAATTTGAGGCAATGATGTGAGGCCCAGCTGAGGTCACGTGTGCTAAAGTTTGGCTTCTAAGGCTGAGGGGTGAGGCGAACTCTGTCTGTCTCTTAGCAGAAGGAGGATTACATTTCTGTTCCACCTGCTCTTGTGTGTGAGCTTAGAGGTGCTCTGYTGCAGTGTGGAAATTGATGTGACATGGRAAGCAGGAGCAGATGAAGGAAGTGGAACCTGCAGCATAGTCACAAAGCTGCTTCCAGTTTTGCAGTCAGGGTAGGAAGGGAGGCCCAAAGCCAGATACTTGGCAGCTGAAAGTCAGAGCTTGATACTTAAAGTTTCCATTACATTCCAAAGGTGATATTGGCATTTTTGGATGCCAGTGCCATATTTGGAGCTGATATATTATGACTAGCTATGCACCATTTCCTTCAGTTCCTCCTTCTCCGAGTTCTTGCTTCCCATTCCAGTTGGAATTTAGCCGCACAGAATGCAGCCTGTTTATTCACTCTCAGTGTGAATCCACATCAGCTCACTTATTCATTCCCTCCCCACTCCTTATTGCCACTTTATAGCTTGCCAACTTTAGTAATATTCTTTTAGTCTCGTGAAAAAAATATGTTAATCAGCAAAGGACCAAGGATCTGTGCCACATGCTGTAGGTGTCCCTGCTGGAGCAGGGGGGTTGGACCAAATGATCTCTAGAGGTCTCTTCCAAACTTAATCATTCCGTTATTCTGGGAGTCTGGGATTCTGGGATGAGTAAATAAAASAGTGTCCTCTGCACTTCTGGCAGCTTTCTTCTGATAATTGTATTTACTTTAAGGAGTAAATAGATGATAAGCTCTCTTGCACCCTCCTGCCTATCTAATCTAGATGGTCAATAATGCTGTAAACCTCTCTTTTATGCTAAGTCTACACGTGTTACTTTGAAATCAGCTGAAACACCCTGAATMTTATAGTAAACTGGAATATTATTCTTGCATTACTCATCAGGGATGTGTGAATTTTACTCTATCAAGAATGGCATTGTTAAAGTATAAGGCCTCCTCCTCAAGGTCTTTCCCACAGAAGAGAATGTACTGTKTAGGTGCTTTGCTGCTATGTAGATTAATGTGACCCTCCCCTCATCACTCTCCATTTGTTTCTGTTAGACCAACAGGTTCCATGCTTGGCAGGAATGGAAAGCAAAATTACTCAGAACTGGATCCACATAAGAAGAATTCATTGACGTGGTCACCAAGGCAATGTCTTGTCTTTTAGGAGGTGCCTCATCCCAAACAGCATACAACCTCAATAAAACCTTCCTCTGTATGCCCTACTGTGCCAGAGGAGAGCCAAGTCCCCCAGAAGAAGACTCTTTATTGATAGTATATCCTGTAGCCTCTGTTTTACGATTCAGGCTATATTTCCTTTATTTCTTACCTTTGTCCTTTTCTTACATTTTGGAAAAGTTCTCTTCCAGTTCTTAAAGCCTGTAGTGGGATTCATTCACCAAACCAGAGGTGCCCATGACACCTGGAGTGTTCTCAGGCATCCCACTGACCTCCAGCTGCAGAAGAGTGGGATCCTGAGTTACCTCCCACATTCCACCAGCACGGAGCCTCAGCGTCCCAGCAGCATCWTCCCAGGTAGCACCAGGCACATAGAGTAGTGTAATGGAAACACCTTGTTGGTATCACTTGTCAAGAACACGYTTCCTGAATTTTATTTGCTGTTATTGTCTTGACTATACTGAATTTGTTAATGTTTTATAATGAATAAGAGCTCTGCATAAAAATGGTTCACTTGCATGAACCATTGGTGATTCCCTGGAATTCAAGAGAGCCCTTTGATCTCTTCAGGGGCCTCCTTGGAGGAACCTCCTGGACCAGGGTCCTAGAAGAAAAGGAGGTGCAGGAGAGCTGGCTAATATTTAATCACAGTACCATTTTCCCTAAGCTCAGAATCAGTGCATTCCTACAAGAAAGAAGTCAAGCAAGAAGGGCAGGAGAGCTATGTGGATGGGCAAGGACCTCTTGGGAAAAATTAGAGAGAAAAAGAGAACATATGTAATGTGGAATTGGGGCGAGACCCCATGGGAACAATGGGACAACGGGAAGGACTTCTATAAATACGTCATCAGCAGGAGGAAGACTAGTCAAAATGGTAGCCCACTGCTGAATGGGGTGGGTGCATTGGTAATGGAGGATACAGAGAAGACAGAGTTACTAAATGCCTTCTTTGCTTCTGTCTTTACTGTTAAGGCTGGTCCCCATGAACTGCAGAGCCCAGATATAAGAGAGAGAAGCAGGAGAGAGGATGACTTTCTGCTAGGCGAGGAGGATTGGATTAGGGATTATTTAGGCAAACTGGACACACATAAACCTATGGAGCCATCTGGGATGCACCCAAGAGTGCTGAGGGAACTGGCGGAGGTCATTGCTCAGTTGCTCTCTATCATGTTCGAGAGGTCATGGGGAGCTGGGGAGGTGTCAGAGGACTAGAGGAAACCGATGTCATTCCAGTCTTCAAAAASGGCARTAAGAAGGAGCCAGGGAACTACAGGCTGGTCAGCCTCACCTCTGTCCCTGGAAGGGTGATGGAGAAGCTCATCCTARAGAGCATATCTAGGCATGTGAAGGAAAAGAAGGTGATCAGGAGTAGTCAGCATGGATTCACCAAAGGGGAGTATTTATTGATGAACCTGACAGTCTTGTAACATGGAATAATGAGGTAGATGGATGATGGGAGAGCCGTGGATGTTCACCCTGTGTCACATGCTCCCACTCTGTGCTACATGCTCTAGGTGTCCCTGCTGGACTGAGGGATTGGACTAGATGATCTCTAAAGGTCTCTTCGAACCTTAACCATTCTGTGATTCTGTGATTCTGTCTGCCTTGACTTCAGCAAGGCTTTTGATCCAGTTTCCCGTAATTGAAAAGTATTTTCAATCTCATTAAACAAACTCCACCCAGAATCTAGAAGAGGATTCAGGAACTTAAGTTACCTTTGCACAGACCAGTGCACTGAGGTGTGTCTGGCACTTTTACACAAGTCCAAACTTTACTTCCTTAGGCAGCCTAATCGGATTAATCATTTGTAAGCCTCACCAAGATTAAACACATAACTCTACTAAAGGATGGTTAAGGCTGGAAGGGACCTCTAGAGATCATCTAGACCTCTAGAGATCATTTATATCCATGTAAGAGGATATAAAGCTAAATCCAAGGGTATGCATGCACTCAAAAAGAAGATGGATACTGCCTCAATCGAAGCATTAGAAAGTTTTATTTGGTAGAAACCAGTCCTCTCAAACCTCTGTCTTGAATAGGGGAGAGAAGTAAGAATCTTCAGAGCCTAATTCATCCCATCACAGAAATTTCCCATTCTTGACTCCATCAGAGGTTTCTTCAAGATCCTAGGCAAGTTCTTTTCAACATAGAAGCAGTCTAAACAGCAGAGAAAAATTAGGACACTGTCTGCATTTAGTAGGACTTTTCTAAAATATTGTATGAGTTCTATGAAGTGAGATTTTCAAAATGCTATAGAGGTGTCATTTCTATTCTTCATGGCTAAGGGCATCTGATCTCTTTAGTACTACTTACTTCAGGCTGAGCATCCAGGAACTGAAACTAGGGGAAACCTCAAAAACACCCTAATAAATTAGGAATGATTTCCTGTCACAGCATAGAAAAATATTTTGCTTGATTAGTTCCAGTAGATTTTCCTCTGTTTATGCAGTAATTCGGTATAGTAGATCTAAGTTAATTTTATTTGAAACTGTGTTGGAAATAATGAGCAAATATTTAAGATACACTCATAAAGGAAATAGGTGCACATATGAACTCTTGTGTCTTATTGCTGTGTTAGCAGGCAGAATAAGGACTGTAGATAAGGCAGCCTCAACAGTGACTAATTAAACCAACTGTGTTGATTTAGACCTGCCCAGGCCTGCCTTGCTACAGAAGTGAAATCTCACACCAGTGTTTCATATCATTTGAAATAAGAAGCTGTTTTTTTTTTTTTTTACCATACTGGAGGTGGCTTTAGTGTTTAGCACACTAGAAAAGTGCAATTGACAGTTATCTCCAATGAGAAATATCTCCAAATTGCATCATACCCTCCAAACCATGCGGAGATTGGACATTTCTCCCCAGAAATATGCGATTTTATAAGCCCAGAGATGTGCGTGTCCAAAAGGTAGCCTGGCAGAGGGAAGAGAGGCATGAAAGAAAAATGATTCTTTAACATTCTCCTGCTGACTTAACACTTGGTTGCAGATATGGGAAAGGTATTAGCTTCTTTTCCAAACACTTTCAAGACAAGGAGGTTGGTTACCCAGAAACAGACCTGTGTCTTGTGTGCTACAGAGCTTGAATTCTAAGGGCAAGCAGTATTTTTGCAAGAAGTTTCTTATATGAAGATCTGAACAACAAATGCAATGTCCTGCCTTAGTAAAATGAAAACAACACTCAGTGAAAATTAGTATCTTTGCATGACTACCATGAAAGATGCCTGACATTTCCTTGGGAGGCACATAAAGAGATTTTGAAGTGGGTGTTACCTGATTCCTGCTGCTTGTAGAGTTATCTGTCCATATATCAGCATATTCAACTCCTCCTAGCAGAGCATGTGCTTCTTGGCTTTCCTTCCTGTTCCCTCTCTTTGGTTCCCTTTCCTTCTCCCACTTAGGCTGTAGCCTTAGTTTGTATCTTCTTGGAAAATTCCAAACTGTCCAATTTACCTGAGATTCCTCCCTATTTTCTCCTYCACACTTCTAACCTCTGGACTTTCCTTCTCACTGGAGCTGGTTCTTTCCCTATGCGATTGGCCAGTATATAGCTATAGGGCTTGCCATGCCCTTGATATTCTGCTCTCTGGGCTAAGGGGCATCAAGTGCATCGAGGTGGCTCACATTCTATATAGTTCTCAAAGTCACATCAAACAAGGGCATAGCAATAAAATGAGGCTGTAAAAGAACTTAAATGTTGGCCCAAATGTATGTGTGTTTATCCTGTAGGCAGCAGCTGAATCCCCWTTCAGGGAATGGATTTTTGATTCCGGGGCAAAAATGTCTCTCATCTGTTTTGTGTGTCTAGATTCAGGTGACAAAGGAATGAAAAGAGTAGTCTCTTAAAAAGGAAAAATAAATCTGCTGTCACAGTGCCAGAGTAAACAGAAAAATTTATTTCATTGTTTATTTTTTTACAACTGGTTTTCACTCTAACAGCACTAATTTACAGAGCCGTCTACTTCCTCTAGGGCTTTTTTAGTATTTCAGGCTTTACAGAGGTTAGAATAGATTGATGTGTTAGGTAGGGACCCGCAGCACAGTCGCTACATAATGGTCATCTGGTGGGGGCTTCCTTGGGCTGYCGGGCTGCAGGAATTTCTTAATGGCAGGCATATTGCTCATTCTTGCTTTAAAAGCCTGAAAAATAGAAACAGAGTGAAGACAAAGTTCTAATTGCGCCAAAAATAAGTGTGGCTGCTTACACAGAACAGTGATTTTCCCTGGCTGACAGAAGAGATCCCAACACTGCTAACTCGAGCACTACCTGAGTGCTCTCCTCTCTTGGCAGGAGGAGGTCCTAGGCACTGTAGGGTACATTAGGGTAGTGTTCCTTGTTATACATTAGGATAGCCAGTGATGTACAGGGGGTTGGCACATATAACACAGGACTTCTGGGAGACCTTCTGCAGAAGGGTGCCCATGCCTGGTGGTTAACACAGGAGATGGGAGCTGCAGCCTAGAATTCCCTGAGCCTGCAAAGCTGCACACAGATTACAGCCTGCCAGGAACTGCTGCCTGCTTTGTGGCTCACACAAAACTTGGCCTTAAACTGCTAAGTTGTTCTTTGTTGAGACTAAAAACAAACAATCAAACAGAATGAAATTTAACCATTTCTTCACCAGCTATGAGTAAAATAACAATCAAACAAACAAACAAGACAACTCTGCTCTAATCTAATGCTTGTTTTGTTCCTTCCTTAAGGGGATAAAGGAAAAGTCTCTTGAGTGCAACAGCTTGTAAGCACAAAGAAGCATGACCTCAAGTCTGACATGCTTAGATCATGCTTGCATTGCTTGGACTGCTTTATTACAATCACCAGAGGCCCAAGGGAGGATTAAGGAACACTAGGTGCTTCTTTTCCTCACAGAATGCTTGGGTCTACTTTGGAGACACTCTTTAGGACTCCTGCAGATGATGCCCCTGGCCAACCCACGCAGAGCTCCACAGCCTACAGCATTTCTGATTCTGCACTTCTTCTTGGCCAAATCTCATAGCAGAAGTGCCTCGTTTCTGCTTAGTGTCAGACTTGRACTGTGGTGCAAAGGCAGGGAATTCATTCTTGATTCTCTAGTGGCACTACCTAAGCCAGAAGTGAACTGAGGTGAATGGGATCCCCAAATTATAATACTAGGCTGTTGGGAAAACAGCATGCTGTACCTAATACTAGTACTTCAGCCTATATCACCACTTGATTTGTTATTGAGTATTAGACAGCATCCACTGGCAAGAAGTAGGAGAAGGACAACAGGGCAGCCTAGATCACTGATTCCCTTTGGGGATACTTCCCCAAAGAGCCCACACTCTTGATTTACATGGCACAGAGAGATGATRAYCACTGCAGGATTTCTCTCACATGAAATCCTTGAAACCTTTGTACCGAGTAGCTCCTGGGTGTCCAGTGTCAGAGTTACCTGCAGCTGGGGGAACCCCGACAGCACRGCAGGGAATTTCTCCTCCACTGCTAAAATGGCTTCTAGGAGCTGAATATCTGCCCAGCTGACTTTGTTGCCAACCAGGAAGTCYTGGCCGTGCTGTTTCAAAGCCTGCAGAACATAAGGCAAAGCRAGTTACAGATTAGGCACTCATCGCCTGGCAACTRAGCCTCAGAGCAGAGCTTCYGAGCAGAACAGAGATTATGTCAGAAATTTCAAGGAGGAGTTTTTAGYTGGAGGACTGTCAGCCTAAACCACTTCAGAACTGGTGGGAAAATAGCTGAATCCCTAKTGTAAACAGACTACAAGCTTGGCAATGATAAGCAMTGRTAGCCTCTGGGACACTGGGAAYGGGGACAAAAATGCCTGCTTAAGAAAACAATATATTAATGATTGTCGATTTAGAACTAGGTAGAATAAAGAAATAAAAGTGTAACTCAAAGAAGTTATAAAGTTGTCATTTATGTACATCATTTAAAGTTAAGTTCAATACTGAACCWGAAAGGAAACTTAAAAATGCAAAACTAGGATAGCTATCCAAACAGGACCCCTGYATTTGGGAATTATTTTATTGTATTCATAAGAATTTCTAAGATGGTCAGCCTTTCTTATTGCTTCCTATCAAAGCCAGATGAATGTTACAAAAGCAAGAAATGTTGCCAGATCAAAATTGTATCTGACTGAATCATAAGGGTTTGTTTATTATTTTTGAAAGCAGGACATGTAGAACCCTTGTTTTACTAGAGCAGYTATAAAAGCAGGTTTTATTTCTGATTTATTCTAAAGGGATCTTTGCCTTCTTCTAATSAAAATGTCAAAACTRGAATTAAGTATGGCAGAAAAATGTGCTCTGAACAAGTGCAAGTGTGGAAATTACCACCAACCTGGCAACACAAGTCAGCAAATAAAGAAGAGCTCTGCAGTATTTCCCCTTCTTTGAGAGAGATGGGAAAGCCAAAGACTTGGAGCTAACCTGCACTACCAACATGTTCTTCTTCTGGGGAAAACTCTCTGATAATCCTAAGAACACGTTATAGGCACATYCCCACTTGGACTTACCTTTTCAAAGACTGGGAAGTACCTGTGTGTTGCCCTGTCCATAATCAAGGCCAGGTTTTTCTCCTTGGCCTCAGGAGGAGAGAAAGGAAGCGTGAGGATCATGTTTGTCAGATCTGTTATTCCCTCCACGTACATGTTGATTTTATTGGTGGAAGAAGACAAGAGGAACGAACGTGTGGCCCCATGCCCGACCTCCACCTGCTGACATTGCGGGCACTGCCCCCACTGCTGGCTGCTCACTGCATTGCTGGCAGAAGAGGATTAAAGGGTAGTTTTGAACCAAATGGATCAGATATGAGTAAGGTCTGTGTTGAAAATGAAACAGAAGAAAAAGTTATAATTATTTTGCATGCAGATCATTTCCTAGTTTCCTAATGTCTTTCAAGGAATCTCTCTCTGCAAACTGAGATAAGAAGTATAATTTAGTAAAAAGATCCCTGTCTATCAGAAATATTGGAGTAGGAACAGTGGAATAGGAAGAATAACAGTGCAGGGACGAGATATTTCTCAGCAGAAAGATGCACTAAATGAAAAGCAGAATTTCATTTACTTGATCTTGTCAAAAGTGGGTGAGGCAGCAAACATAAAAATAGGGTTTATTTCTCATCTACAGAAAAGCAGAATTTCTC